ATCACCCAGACCAGGACAAATGTTCAGGCTCTCGCCTTTGGCTTGACCCAATCCTGGTTATCATGGAATTTAACAAGTGAATCAGTGGATGGAGGATTTCTCTCTCTCTCTCTCTCTCTCTCTCCCTCCCTCGCTCTCTCTCCCTCTCTGTCTCTGTGTCTGTTTCTGTCTGTCTTTCAAATAAAATAGAAAAAGTTTCTTCCCCTGCAACCAAACTAATGCAAACTGCCCTCCTACAAAAGGGAAGATAATATTTGGATACATACACTGTACACATTTTTGAAGCACTCATTACACTATGCAATACCTCTACACGCATGGTCTAGCTGAGACTATGGCAAGCAGGTGCAAGCCACAGCACATGTCCAGGGAAGGCAAGCCTGTCAGGAGGCCAACCCAGAGACTCCAGCCTGTGTGGACTTTGCCCAGCTCCGCCCACTTGCCAGAGACCAGCAGGCCCACTCCTCGGCACCAAAACCTAGAGACCTTAGCTCCTTAGACCAGTTCTGAAAACAGCTGGTAAGTTTCGCCAATGCTGTACAAAGAAATATTTTTGAGAAAATGTCACATTCAGACATTTATTTTAAATAAAATCAGGCATATTACCCATGGCTCCCCCACCCCCCCAAAAAAAACTCCACACCTCTAGTAATCAAAATAAGGCTTCATAGGTTTTAATTGCTTTTAACAACTACAGCAATATCAGACACCAGATATGAGTAAAGTGATCTTAAACACCAATCCAAAAATACCATTATAATAAAAAATGCCTTTGCAAGAGGTAGCTGAAATGAACCATTCAGAATAAAACCATTCGGTTCATGGAAAATGGGTCTCCTAGAAGTAGTCCAGTAATATCCAGAGTGATTTATTTTTTTAAAAAAAAAGTTTGTTTTCATCTACCTTTTGAAAGACTGAGCAACACAGAAAGTACAGGTGGGGAGAGGAAAGGAAGGAAGCAAAGAAAGCTGTTAGAGGCGCCCTCCCCAAGTGCCCACAATAGAAGGGTTGGGTGAGATAGAAGCCAAGAGCCCAGAATTCTATCTGCATCTTCCAAGAGAGTGGCAGGGGCCCAAGCACGTGAGCCACCACCTGCTGCTTCCCAGCAAAACGGAAACTTGAACAGAAGCAGAGTAGTCAAGCACCTCAATACAGGATGTATTCCCAATGCCGGCCCCTAGAATCATTTAGCTTTAACGCCAGAACCATCTGACGAGTTCATCCCCCTGGAACTTCCACCTCCAATGACAAGGATGAAGACACTGAAGCTACAATGCTACAAAGGCAGGGCCCTGTACAGCGCCCTGCAGGGAGTCAGTGGCCCAAGAACAGCCCAGGTCTCCCTGCTTCCAACCTGTGCTCCCACAAGAAAATCACTCTCTGATTCCAGCAAAGAGCTCCCCAAAATGTCCAAATGCTGGACATACATCCAAGGAGCTTCTAGAAACACAGTTATCTATGTCCTGCCCCAGATTCGGAGATTTAACTGATTGGAAGTTTGGCCAGGGCTCAGAAATGCTCAGAAGAATCCCAGATGCTTCTAACATGCATCCAAGATCAGCAGCCTGTCAGAAAAAAAAACTCATCCCTCAGAAGAATTCACTCTTGTGAGTCCCTGTCGCGTGGGTGGATATAATTTTTCCCTGCTTACAAGTGTTAACAACCTCTCCCTAGGGACTGCCAATTTGCTGTTTCTAAATCGCTGTGGCCTGAAATTATCTGCCAGCCAACCTGGTAAAAATTGGATAGGAAATAAAAATAAATCTGTGCTCACTGGCCAGCCTTCATCTGCACACACCAGAGTGTATGTTATTGTAGCTGCTTCTAAGCGTCTGTCAGGTGCACCCACTTTGGCAACTGTTTATAAAGTTGAATAAATGTTGGTGCTAGTGTTGTGGCATAGCAGGTAAAGCCGTCGCCTGCGATACCTATATACCATATGGGCACTGGTTCATCTACCAGCTGCTCTACTTTTCATCCAGCTCCCAGCTAACGGGCTGGGAAAGCAGTAGGAGATAGCCCAAGTGCTTGGATATCTGCAGCCATGAAGGAGACCCAGATGAAGATCCAGGTTCCTGGCTTCTGCTTAGCCCAGTACTGACGATGCTAGCCATTGGCAGTACATGAAAGATATCTCTCTCTTTGTCTCCCCCTCTCTTTCTCTCTATAAGTCTGACTTTCAAAATAAATAAATAAATCTTCAAATAAGGTTGAATAAATGGTTATTAAACTACCCCTAGCTGTCTACCCAAGAAAACTAAAATATATATAGGCAGCAGCTCTGTTATGCTAGCACCTACAGTGCCAGCAGCCCATATGGACACTACTTTGAAGACTGGCTACTGCACTTCCAAATCAGCTCCGTGCTAATGTGCCTGAGAAAGAGTGGAAGACGGCCCAAGTGCTTGGATCTCTGCACCCCTATGGAGGACCTCTAAGAATTCCCTGGCTCCTGGCTTCATGTTGGCCTGACCCTGGTCACTGCAGCCATTTGCAGAGTGAACCAGCTCTGCCTTTCAAATAAATAAAAGAAAAATATATTTTTAAAAATATATAATAAGAGGCCCAGCACAGTGGCCTAGTGGCTAAAAGTCCTCGCCTTGAACGCACTGGGATCCCATATGGGTCCCGGTTCTAATCCTGGCAGCTCCACTTCCTGCCCAGCTCCCTGCTTGTGGCCTGGGAACCTGCACCCATGTGGGAGATATGGAAGAGATCCAGGCTCCCAGCTTCGGATTCAGCTCAGCACCAGCCGTTGCGGTCACTTGGGGAGTGAACCATTGGACGGAAGAGCTTCCTTTCTGTCTCTTCTCCTCTCTGTATGTCTGACTTTGCAATAAAAAAAAAAATTAAATCTTAATACATATATAATGAGGGAAAGTTTAAAAATTCAAAATATTGAATAAAAAAATTCATTTTGGTGCAGAAAAAAATTTTGAAATCCACCTGTAATTTTTGTTCATACACATTTTCCATAACTTTTGGAAGACTCCCCTTATGTCCACACAAACACTTGAACATAGCTGTCTATAAGAACTTCATTCATCATCACCAAACACCAAGCAGCACAAGTGTCCATCAGTGAGAAAAGTGGATGAGCAGACCGTGGTCCGCCTACATGATAGACTGTCATCGAGCAACAAAGATGGGCAAAGCAGGGACACACTAAAGAAAAGAAGCCGTTCGAGAATACTACCTCCTGCTTGATTCTAGCTCCACGATGTGCTGGGGAGCAAAGCTATTGGGACAGAAATCCAGCAATGACTGGCAGAGAGGGGATGGGAGGCTAAAGACAGGCTACAAAGGAGCACAACGGAGTGGCAAAGGGCAATGAGAATACTCTATGGCTTACAGTGGCCTCTATCCAGCTGGATTTATCTGTCAGAACACCTCAGACCCAGACTACACGTACTTCTGAAATGAACCTAATGTCAAAAACAAGGCATGACCATGTAATTGTAGGGTCACACAGTTCCCTAAATTTCAAAACTTTGAAACTATGTAATTTCAGAATCAGAAGGCGTCTTAATGGCTAACCAGCATATGTTAGATCATCTTCAGTGTCAGTTAACTCATTACTGGTTAAGTAATTTTACCACGTAAAGTTTTGCTAGAATGTGGCTCAGTCGCATAAAAATCAGTGTGCATATATGTACACACACATGCATAACACTAAATGTACATGAACACACACACATGCAGAGGCAGCTTTTACCCATTGCTTTTAATTTTGTGCTTCATTTCAACTGGGTGACTATATGACTCAATCTAACTGCTTCTCATTTAATAGCCTCCAAAAGTACTTTACGCTAGGGTTCTCAACTTTCTTCCTCTATTCCTCAAAACTGAAAATTCTAATTGTTTCCATTTTGGTGATCATTTAAAATGCATCTTCCTGGGCCCAGCATGATGGCTCAATTGGCCAATCTTTCCCTTAAGTACAGGAATGCCAGGCAGGTGCCAGTTCATGTCCTGTCTGCTCCACTTCCCATCCAGCTCCTTGCTTGTGGCCTGGGAAAGCAGCACAGTATGATACAAGGCCTTGGGATACTGCACTCAATGAGGGACTTGGAAGAAGTTTCTGGCTTCTGGCTCCTGACTTTGGATCAACTCAGCTCTGGCCACTGTGGCCATTTGAGAAATGAAACAGTGATCTTTCCAATAAAAACAGATCAATCTTTTTTAAAATTAAAATGCATTTTCCTAAGTTTGACAGGTGACATCTTCCTTAACACAACTCAAGTGTCTTCCCCTCCTTTGAATAACTCTGAGGTTAACTGCTAACTTCCACATCCCTTATCTCAAAACTCCCCTTTTTCCAAAGCTGATGGCCTCTCCAGGTAATTCACAACAAAGACCTACAAAGGTACTGCCTAGCTAGAGCAACACAACAAAGCAGGCACTCACCCTAGCAGAGTTTTTAAATTCTTGAAGAGCTGCAAAGATTACTACTATTTTTTTTTCCTCTTCAAAGACTTGGAGCAGGTACATCAGCACAGATACACAAATCACACCCTAAAAATACACAACTGGAGGAAGACACTAACATTGCATATTTTAACAGCTTAAATTCATGGCATGATGAAACAAGTCATAATTTCAGTGAACAGTTACACAACTAAGTGAAAATGATGCTCCTTTCGACCACCTGTTAGCCATTCTTTCCGTATCATAACAGGAAACTGAACTATTCAGAAACCACTTGATTTTTGGAGATTAATGTTTAGCCCTAAATTAAAACAACAACCTCTAACTACTAGATATTCTCAGATGCTCTCCCATCAAATCACCTTAATATGAAAGGAATTTAAAAACAAAACTTCTCAAAGAGTTGAACATTTCCAATAAAATGCATATTGCAATACACTATTAAAACTTTTGTCACTGCAGTCCAAATGTTTGCAACAATACAATGTTCATCCACGTTTACATTAAAACATATCATGGTATCATGTTCTAAGAATAGGGTAACAAACAGAAGAAGCAAAAACACAACTCACCAGACAGAAATCCCAGAAGATGTCACTGTGAAAGTTCCAAAGAGTCCCAAGGGAAAGCAGGCATAATTTTTCTGCTCTACTCCAGATACTAAATATGAAATACAAAAATGCACGTTTAATTTGACAAGTAACACAACTTATTAAGCAATTATATCAATTGTCACTGCAAAACAGGACAAAACCAGCAGGGGGGTACTCACACCAGGTATCAGCCATACTGATTAACTCAGCCAAAGCAATGTTGAACTTGTTTAGCTAATTGGATCTCCAAACATTGCATCCTGCTTGTTCTGTTGTATTCCCGTTTCAATTCTACCTGCAATCCAAGAGTGGTTCTCTGGGCTAAATAGAGATGTAAGGAAAATTGAGGGTTGAACTCTTGGTTTCACAATCCCAGTTGTACCCACATGCTCAACAGACTCTTAACATTCTCTTGCCAAGAAACAATGCTGAGGTCCAAGGAACTGATTCTCTCTCTGGCCTTTCTTAGAACTCTGCCTCGGGAGCTTGCCTGCACAGCAGTTGTCACTGTGAGGACCTTGGTTCTTGGCCTTTACACAATTGGGTGTAGCATACGGTGTCATTTACCCATGGGGAATGTTATGACTTAGCAATTAATTGTTGGTGCCTTCACTTTAATCACTAAACAGCAACAATAAAAGCTCTGTCATAAGCTTGTCATGAGGCCAATGATTGGCATGCTGTTAGTAAACACTACAAGAGGCAGTGCTGTGGCCCAGCAGGTTTAAGCCTCCATCTGCAGTGGCAGTCTCATACAGACACCAGTTCGAACCCCAGCTGCTCCACTTCACATGCAGCTCCCTGATAATGCACCTAGGAGAGCAGTGGAGAACAGCCCAAGTGCTTGAGCCCCTGCACCAACATGGGAAACCTAGAAGAAACTCCTGGTCCATGGCTTCCAACTGGCCCAGCCTCAGCTACTAATGACATCTGGGGAGTGAGTCAGCAAATGAAAGACTTCCATCTTCATAAGTTTGCCTTTGAAATAAACAAAATCTTAAAAAAGAATTCTCATCATATGTGCCTTTTTTCTTAAAAGAAGGAAAGAGCCCAAGGGGGCATCTGGTGCTGTGACTGGGAGTCCACATGGGTTCCCTCTCCCCAGATGGGTTTGAGTCCTGCGTCTGCTCCCGATCCAAGCTTCCTGCCAATGCGCAGGGCAGCAAGCTGAGATTATACATGCTTGAGGCCTGGACTGAGTCCCTGGTTCTCAGTTTCAGCCAATTGGGGAGTTGAACCAGCAAATGGGATGTCACTTGCTTATTCTCTCATCTCCCCACCTTTCAGATGAGTAATTTTTTTTTTAATTTTCAAAATTAAAAAAAAAAAAACAATAGGATGACTCACAAAAACTACTTCTTCCTCAAACTTCCTCTCATTACCCTGCAACATTTCCCCTGTGCCCTCCCCGCCCCCGCCTTACCTGGGGAGTTGCTGCATAAGAACATCTATCTTTATTTCTGCCTCTCCTGCTACTGGAGTTAATTTGCCAAGACCAAGAAAATTCCCCAAAGTCCCTTGCACCTGTTTGCTTTGGTGGCTGGCAGACTCAAAGCAACCCTGTGGATTCACCCGCGCCACAAACACACCCAAAGGTTGAGAGGCAGCACTGGATGTCACTCTCCCCAGCACAGACAGCAAGGCGTTTGTCACTTCTCTGTCTGTCCTACCAGTATGTAACAGCTGTATCCAAGGCAACAGATCATCACCTGATGATAGGCATCACCGCCTCCCTCATCTTGAGAGACCAGGAGGAGCTAGCACAACAAGACCCATCTTTCCTGGAAATCCACAGCCTTCAACTGCCTTGAAACCTCCTCAGATGTGGCTCGCAGGAATCCCCTGCCACTCGTTCCACATTCTCAAACTGAGTAAACAAAGAAACCAGATCATTACGACTTGGTTTAGTCACACCAATAAAGCGTCCGGCTTTGACATAAGGTGAACTCTAATGCCTACATTTTGTTTACTTAATTACCCAGAAGAATTTTCTCAATACCACTGTTACACAAATTCGTCTGATTTCTCGAGTTAATGGATGCTTAATAGAAGAGAATTTTTTAAAGAGTGCTTTTAAGCGGCTCCTCCATGCCAAAAGCTATGCACAATGCATTTCATTTCATTTTAATCATTCTCAAGGATAACAGGATGCTCCCCCACTTTATGTGATCAAACAGTACTAGGTGAGAGTCAGTGCTGGCATCAGAAGCCCAATTGGTGTGACTCCCAAAATTACACACTTTTTTTTTAAAGATTCATTGATTTATTTATTTAACAGGCAGAATGAGAGATAGAGGGAGAAGGAGTAGGAGGAGAGAACGAGAATCGTGTTTCATTCACTGGTTTACTCCTTAAACGACCACAACAAGCAGGGGTGGCCCAAGCCAGAGCCAGGAGACTGGAACTCCGTTCAGACCTCCTACACAGACAGCAGGAACCCAAGCATTTGAGCCAGCGTTTCTGCCTTCCCAGGCATGCAAGCGAAGAGCTGGACTGTAAGTGAAGTGACCAGTAACCCAATCCTGGGCATGTTGGCAAGGCAGGTGGCAGCTGAGTCTGCCCCACTCACGTATATTCCCTCCGTTCAGAGACGAACCCCCAAGGATTCATGAATCATGTTCCTGGAAAATGTATGTTAATTCCTACAAATAAAAATCTAGTTTAAAGGTATAGGGGAAGCACTTTAAAAGCTTTATGGCCTCATTCATGAAATGCTAAGGGGGAAGTAGTTTTTACGACTAGCTTAGAGATGATTCCCAACTTGATTCTTTTAAGGTGTCGAGTACAAAATCATTTTAAATCATGAACTCATTCTCATCAGAGCATAATTTAAAAAAAAAAAAAAAGAAATCCTAATTTGTAAGGCAATTTTCAACCAATTCTCATTGGTTATTGAGTTCAATGTCAAATGTAGGTATGGGTAGCACTTTGTTTTCCAGGGCTAACTCCATCAAAGTGAGACAGATTTCATTTATATCATTAGAAACAGAGGCTGGGGCCCAGCACAATAGCATAATGGTTAAGGTCCTAGCCTTGAACGCACCGGGATTCCATATGGGTGCCGGTTCTAATCCCAGCAGCTCCACTTCCCATCCAGCTCCCTGCTTGTGGCCTGGGAAAGCAGTTGAGGACGGCCCAAAGCCTTGGGACCCTGCACCCATGTGGGAGACGGGAAAGAAGTTCCTGGTTCCTGGTATCAGATCAGCACAGCACCGGCTGTTGCGGCCAATTGGGGACTGAATCATCGGACGCAAGATCTTCTCCTCTGTCTCTCCTCCTCTCTGTACATCTGCGTTTCCAATAAAAATAAATAAATAAATATTAAAAAAAGAAAAAGAAGAAGAAGAAACGGAGGCTGACAAATCAAAGAACATTTCATGGCCAAATTCTCAATGTCGTGTTTAAAAAAAAAAAAAACAACTTTATATCTCATTCCAAGTTTCATGAAATATGAAAGTCAAGTTTTTATATATGCATTAGGAAAACATTTATAACTTTCAAACATTTCTTTCTCCTCTCTAGGAAAGAAATCCACTGAAAACCTCAGCCTGTATCTGAAAGGCAGAGAGCCTTCACGTAATCATCCGACTCCAGCCTGTGATGTGGAAGTCTAGGAAACAGCGGGCAATCTCATAGTAAACAAAATGCAGTCACTGATGATCTCTGCTCCACCGGTGCCAAGCCAAAAGTGGAGCACAGACACATGGGCCAAGGAGCAGCACCAGGCAAAACCTATGAGCCGAAGCTCCACTCCGTCGCTCGTTTTCCATCACTCCTGACACCGGTTACAGTTTGCTGTGTGAGTGCTGACTCTGGAGCGTGTGCTGAGCACAGGCGGATGATGACAAAGATGGTGAAAAGGGGAAAAAAAAAACAAGTTACATTTGTACAAGAATAAACCTTCTGTCACAACTATGGATGGGGCAGGTGTTTGGTGCAATGATTTAAGGCGCCGTTTGAAAGCCGGTATTGCAGCATAGCATGTTAACACGCCGCCTGCAATGCCAGCATCCCATGAGTGCTGGTTTGAGTCCTGACTCTATACTTCTGATCCAGCTCCTGCTCATGCTGCTGGGAAGGCAGCAGAAGATGGTACGAGTACCTGGGCCTCTGCTAGCCAGCTAGGAGACTTAGAAGGAGTGCCAGGTGCTTGGCTTTGACCCGGCCTGGCCCTGTCCATTGTGGCCATGTGAGGAAGTGATCCAGTGAATAGTTGATGTCTTTCAAATAACAGGGCTTTATATTAAAATCAATCAATCAATAAATGATGCCACTTGCAACATGGACATCTACATAGGAGCGCCTGGCTCCACTTCAAGGTTCCTGCTAGGACACACCCTGGGAGGGAGCAGGTGGTTCCAGCAGCCAGTCCCTGCTAGCCGTATGGGAGAGCCAGACTAAGTTCCAAGCATCAGTCTCCCTGCTTTGGCCTGGCCCAGCCCTGTCTCTGGGAAGCATTTAGAGAATAAACCAGCAGGTGGGAGGCTTGCCTGTCTCCATTTACATTTCAAATAAAACATCTTTAAAGAATTACCTATGAAATAATGAATTACAATATTACCATTACCGTTTTATCCCTGTCTCCTGTAAGTAACAATGAAGTGACTTTTTAACATAAAAGTCCTAAAAAACATACCTTTCCCATAACTACTCACACTTGTGAAATACCATAAAAATCTACACAACTCCGACTTTATCAACTCATTCTGAACACAACGGCTTCAAAGGGCAGCAACAGCTCTCCTCTCCAAACAGCATGTGGGGAAGCTCAGAAGCTGGACTACGCACTGCCCAGAGTGCAACACAGCAAACAGGAGCGGCTACAACACTTCTGCTTCCAAGTCAGAAGCCATGAGCAACAGGGGGCCCTGAGAGTGATGAAAGCAGGCCCAGCTCCCAGGACAAGGAAGCGAGGGGTGACGTAGGCAGACACTCAGCAAAGGACTACAAAGGAAGCTCCTGTAGATAGGAAAGGTTGCAAACCTGAGCTAGCGAGTTAGCCACATTTCTCAGGTGAGATGACACACAGAAGAATGTCCTTCAGAAGTAGGGCGGCCACGGCTCAGTTCCTAGTCAATTTCCCACGTTTACAGCAACCCCTCCAAACTTTTGCAATTATATTATGTGGCAATCAATTGCTATCTGCTCAAAATTAAAGAAAAGCAATCAATTTTTGAAACCTAAATAACCTTTGGGTTTGCACTATAGCTCTGTATAGAGATCCGAGAGATATTTCTTTGAGGAAATTAACCATTCAATTATTCACATTCACATTCAGTATGTCAATAATATTTCTTGGGACAAAGAGTAAAAAGAATAATGCAGTCAGAAACACGTAAAATCTAGCACACACAACAGTAAACTTGAATGGCAATAGGAGCCCAGAAAATGGAGTCGTTTGCTAAAAAAAAAAAAAAAAAAAAAAGAAAGAAAAAAGAAAAAAGAAAGAAAAAAGAAAGAAAAAAGAAAGAAAAGACACATAAGAACATGTTTAGTTCCACACAGAATGTCTACCCGCCCCCCCCCCCATCTCCCTAAAGTGCTATAAACCTCAGGCTTCAACACGGATCCACTAAGAAAATCCCAAGTGAAAACTTCGCATCACTTACAACTCCTGCTATTATAAATCTGAAGGCCAGCACAGCTCTAATGTTGGTAAAGAAATCCTACTGATGATTAGAGATTCTCTTTGCAAAGCAAGATGT